CGCGCCTTCGTGTAGGGGGGTGCACTGTCCCTCCAAACAATAACCGCCTCCCCACCCGCCTTCCTGTCCTCCACACCAGAAGTCGCGTAAAGCAAGGTTAGTGTTCTCTCTCTTCATACTGTATATACTGTACTTTGTTTCATATTTTTGTGGTTAAAAAAAAAATACATATGGTTCAGAATGGATTAACTGTATTTACATTGAACCTTATGGGAAAATTTGATTCGGGTCGCGACCAAAATCGGTTGGCGACCAAATTCGTAGGGGTCAGGACGGATTAACCGTATTTACACTGAACCTTATGGGAAAATTTGATTCGGGTCGCGACCAAAATCGGTTGGCGACCAAATTCGTAGGGGTCAGGACGGATTAACCGTATTTACACTGAACCTTATGGGAAAATTTGATTCAGGTCGCGCCAAATTTGGGTCGCGACCAGAGTCACGGAACGAATTAAGTTCGTGACCCGAGGTACCACTGTATTTTACATACATCAATAAATAAAATTTTGGACTTTGGAGAAGACATGACAGAGGTATAAAATTTACGTATAGTACAAAGTTTATAATAATGAAATGCAAATACGGGAAAAACATTGATCAGCAAATGTTAAGCCATTCAATTTGCTTCCTCAATAGGTAGCACAGGAGTCTGCCATCTTGATCAGCAGGCTTATCTGGAATTTTGAAAGCATGTCAGGAACACTTTCGCAAAATGGTTGCCAAGTGAGTGTGATCAATAACTGTTGGTTTTAAAGTGTTTTTGTTAGCCTTTAATTAAGGTATGTACGTATGATGCTGACTTGACTCAACTCCTAGTGAATACATGGACACAGCCATGTAGTTTTCTGATGACAATACAGAAGCGTTTGCTATTATAATCATCCAGGATGTGTTTTTGTCAATTTCCCAGGGTTAGCTCTTGACCTAAGATCTTTTAGTGGTCTCCTATTCAAGTCTCCTACCCACTTAGCTTTTTCAAGATTAGCCAGAATCTTAATACTGTTTTAATTGGTATTCTATTTTCCTGGAATTATCTTTCATTTTTTAAAAACCTTTTCATGTAAGCTTCTAGGACCACAGAAAAAGTACCAAAATCCAGAGCCTGGAAATACTGTTGTTTCTCTTCTATCAGAAAGTCTGTTTGATTAAAATTGAAGAAGGACCTGGGTTTGAGTTTGAATTTTCAGAAAAAAGTGAAACCCTCCAATGTATGTTTGTCACTAACAACCTAGGTATAATAATGAATCCTACACAGCACTAGAAAAGCCTAATCCAATTCTACTTTCCATTTCTATATCCAGTTAAGTGCATTCAAGCAGAAATAAACCCTGTTGAATTCAACTAGATTTACTCTCTTGAATATGACTGCAACCTAATGGAACTTCAGCATAACAGAGACTTCATGACAATGTCTAGTCTTTCAGCTTCCTCTAGTCTGATGAATGCAACAGCACATATCAAAAGCTACAAATGCACTTGCCTTCCACTCAACCTAAAATCACTCACAGATTAAAAAAAAAAAATCCCCAAAGTCAGAGAGAAAATTAAAACCATATCATGTACCTTTAAAGGAAAATGGATTAATTAAAAATGGATTAATTAAAAGGATTAATTTTGTAAAATAGAAACTAAAGACAAAATGAAATTGGGAAAATGTTAGTTAAAATATTAAGATACAATCAATTCATCCATTGTGGCTGATTATAAGTAGGTTCCAGATCAAAACATTAATTACATACTGGTATGGAATGTATCATCATCACACACTGGTGGAGAACCATGTTTCTTATGAGAGCAAAATCCAGCTGTTGATCTATTTTAGTAGGCTAGGTAATGTCAGGGCTTAGCCAAAGGACCACAGCAAAGCCCTCCCCTACAAAAACCATCCATTTCTCTTTGAGTGGATAGGTACACTCTGTTCCTCATACTGTCTATCATGGAGAAAATAATCCACTTCGAGACAAACCAGGAGCCATCAATTCCTGCCTTACCCTGTACTCTGTAGTTCATTGTATACAGAATTCATTGTACAGTATACTTACCCTATGGGGAGAAGATGTTCAGGAGAAAAACAGGCAAAGTGCTTGATTGGGGAATGTGTAAAGTTCTTAAATAGTCTGTTTAACAGACAAACTAGCAAAATAGCAGCTAGCAATACAGGGATATAACTCCTCTGTGGATCCCCTAATGGGCCACACTGGTCCCTCAAGCTAGTCCCATTCCTGCCATGTAACAAGTTGGTAGTAATTCATTTAACTTGTTTTTGAAAACACGTAAGACTATATATTAACCACCACTTTAAGTTAAACAGAGCATTTGACAAAGTCTCCCATGAGTTTTGGGTAGAGAATATGGAAAAATGTAGGCTGAACCATGATATCAACTGATGCATATAGCTGGTTGAACAATTATACCTAATGAATGTTTGACAATGGATCCATGTCAAGACAGAGAGAAGCATAAAGTGGTACTACAAGGTTTGTTTGGATCCAATTCTGGGCACTGCATTTTAGAAAGTACACTGACTGAGTACAGTATGTCCAAAGGAGAACAATCAAGATGATAATGAGCGTAGAAAGAAAAAGGTATCAGGAATGGTTGGAGGCACGGAGTACATTTAGCTTGGAGAAAAGAAGCTTACAGGGAGACATGATAGCTGTCTTCAAGTATCTGAAGGGCTGTTGTGTAGAACAAGGGTTTTTAATTTTTTTCAGGTTGCAGAATCTTTAGTTTAAAACAAACAAACAAACAAACCTTGGAACCCCTGATCTGTAAAGTGGTGGCTGTGGTGTTTTTTGCAAGAGAACAAGCCTTACCCTTTCCGTTGACCCATCAACTCTCGCAGAACAGAGTTTGAAAAAAACTGGGTAGAAAACAAGGCAGAATTGTTCAGAGTTGTTTCAAGAGGGAGGAAAAGAGACAAGAAGTTTAAATTACAAGGACACAGATTTTGGCTGGATATCAGGAACAATACCCTGAGAGAAAACTGTTCAGCAATGGAACAGACTGCCTCAGGAGGTTGCAGACTCCTTCACTGCAGATGTTTAAGTAGGGGCTGTATGGGGTCATCTATCAAGAAAGCTGCAGTAAAGTGGACTAGATTATCAGGTCCTTTCCAATGCTTATATTTGATGATTCTGTAGTAAGTGTTTGTTTCATTCCATGGGGCAAGATACCAAGTTAGAGACAAATCAGTAAAAGAAACACAGCATACAAATAAAATCAGCACAATATTTGAAGGCAATTGTCTGTCCTGGACAAAATACTCCTGATATAAATTACCTTTTTTTCTGAGCCAGAAAGTTCATGGTTCTCTTTTTGAACTTCATAAATAACGAAGTCCTAAGAATAACCAAGACTAGAAATCATCATTGCTTCCACCTTATTCTCTTCCAAATCTGTACATCCTTTCTGCCAACTGTGGACCATTAAGAATTTTACTGAAACTATATATATTCTGTAGTCTAACTGCACAAAAGTCTTGACAGACTGCCCAGTTTACAGAACTAAATAAGCTTGGGAAGAATAAGAAAAAGAAGCAAGTTTCTGAAAATCTGAAATAAACCTCACAATTCCACAAGTGTATAAACAGCTACACCTCCATAACTCATTGGCAAGTACAGCAGTACTGTACATGTTGTATGTGTTGTTCTACTAAGTGAAAGAGTATTGCAGGTTTTCCAATAACAGAACTACTTCCATTAGCAGAAGCACCTCTGAGAAAGGGATGAAGAACCCAGCTCAGCTGATACTGAATTTCATGCAAGGGAAGTATCATTACTTTTCTAGCTAAGCATCAGTTCAGCAATTAATGCAGAGCAATGTGAACTATCAGTCTAAAACTAAAATGCAAACAACATAAAGTGATAGTTTTTCTCTTTGCCCTTTTTTCCCATTCATTATACAACATGTTAAAAAAAGGAAAAAAAGGAACAG